GGGCGTGACCTAACCGCTAGGCCATCTGCGCCTACGTGTTGAGATTTTGGACGAATGTGTTGGTCTGTGACCTTCCTGGCTGCTGAAATGGCTACCGTAAAGACAGCTGCGCCGCTTAAAATAGACTTACTACCTTGAAGGCATTAAAAGCTGCACTGTTTAAAATAGAAACACTTATTAATATTAACCTGAGTCCAGATAGGATGGAACTGGGTCTACATTTGTAAATTCAATCTGATCCCTTTTTGTGATTAACAATGTCATTACACACAGAGGCTTAAATCACAGTACACAATATTTAATTAGTCCAGGGTGACTTTGTACTTGGGCCTTTAGAGGGGTAGTGGGTTGTTCAAGTATATGCTGGCCTGTTGCAGAGACTGGGGGAGTCGTCCTGCTCTCCCTCTCTCCTCTCTCCCCTGTGGATCACTGGGATCCAGGATGCTGCCAATGCCTGTGGAGGCAGAACCTCCTGACGCACTCCTCCGGTGGCTCAGGTCTGTTAAACTGGAGTGATTTGAGCTGTAACCTACAGGACAAGAGCGTTATAAAACCACAAAGACTGTCATTGTAATTTGTGTAACTGGCGGGATAGAACTTCAGCTGCTGTTTTTAGTGTTTTCTGTGTGAGGTACCTGAGATTTTTGACTTCTGACTTGCATAGCTGGGTGTTCTCGAGTGACCATACACAACCAACTCGTCTGGGACTGAGACCGACTTCATTGGAGTCTCTAAAAACCCACGCACACACAGACACACACACAAACACACACAATATAAGCAAAAAATGGACAAAAATCTACTTGTTCTTTATTGTAAAACCTTCTCTTTTTTTGCAAAAGCAAAGACCTTGTGATGATTTTGAAAAGGCTTCTGTTGTCTCTCTACTCATCAAGTTAGCTCATGAAAAACAACTGTTTGTGGAAAACTACAACAAAATATGTATTTGATTTCAAGAACTGAGAAATTAAAATTGTGCTGTTGTGAAAAATAGTCAATTCTTTTAAGACTTATAATCTGTAACCACATACCAGTGAGTGAGGGAGATATGTGCATGTCTCCTCCCTTTCTGTCCTCAAGGAGACACTCAGCTTCAACCTGTGGGATTCCCAGCGTCATTGCTGTAGATGGAGGACTAGAGAGAGGACAGGAGAGAGAGAGTGGTGTTACTTAGAAGCAAGTGCTCTTAAATAATGTCTATATAGATGCATGCATACAAATGTATTTAAAACACTAGGATTCAACTTGGGGTGGTAGAATACAAAGGGCAGGAATCACTGTAAACTTCTCTGAGAGAGCCTTTTCCTCATATGAGTTTAAATGTTAAAAGTGGTTTCATACTTAAAAAAAATAAAATATAGTTTAATCATTAATGCAGTCTTAAAATGATCCCACATGTAAAAACAATTTATTCTGTGAGGATTTAACTACATATATTCAATAAACTGTTAAGCAGACTTTAAATCCTTTGTATTTTTGACAAAACGACACATTAGTTTGTATTAACAGAAAGTGTATTTAAAAAGTATAACTGCTACTTCCGGTTGAGATGGCAGGGACGCAGACAAATAGTGACAGACAACAAGTAATAACACAAATGATTACGTCTTTGTTGCACTGCTGTAAATCCTCCACGCACCATGAGTAACACTGTGTGGGATGAATGACTGGGCTAGTCTTGGGTTTACACTTTAGACATCTCCTAGGCAGCAGTGTGTGTATTATTACACTAAGAGAGTGAGGTAACATGAAAGAATAAAGGGAATGACTTGTGTGGGTTGAGGACAAGGAAGTGTTTGCACACGGTTTGGGCTTTTGAAAAGTAAGATGTTACATAACGTCCTTTTTGTCAAACTGCTGATTACATTAGAGTCGTATCCGCTGCTTAGGTTGGTCAGATTCAGATCAGGGTGAGAGGTTATTAGCTCTCAGATAAAACGGTGATCAATTCTCAAATAAAATAAAAAAAACATACATTTTAACTCAGTAGATGTCAGTTATATTAGACTAGAGATATATATTCAGGAAGCAGCAAACAGGATGTGATACAGACTATTTCCCCTGTGGTTAGATGCAGACTTTCCAGCGTGAGGTGTACCTTTCCTTAGAAACTAGAACTATAATGTATCAGGGATGTATAAGGTAGCAGACAAGTCGATGTTTCCTTGGTTACAAGGTTGGTTTTAAATTCAGATTCAGATTTTACGGAGGAGTAAAAGAAGAGATAAAGAAGAGATAAATAAGGTCAAAATGAACTCTTACGTTTTGAAACAGGGGTCTCCAGACATCAGTTGTGTGGTGATGATAACCTGTAAGAGAAAACATGGGGCTGATGAGGAATAACTCTGTGAGGAAGAAAAACACACTTTCCTGTACTGTGTGGATTAACAGAGATAGTAACTATGGCTTAGAGCAACAGTATATAAAAGTACATTGTAAATCTGTGCCCTAGGAAGAATCCACATATTTAAAATTCCTTCCCATGGCTCATGCAGTTAATGGATCACAAGCTCTGACATGTATTGCATCAACTAGCAAGACATTCAACTTTTCCACTCATGCAAAGTGTTTTTCAATTGCACATTGTCTCTAGTTCAACCTAAGAAGTGGTGAAAGGATTGTAGGGTTATCTATCATAGGTCATTGGACTGTACTGAAACACTGTCAGTCATGAAGAGACTCCTCAGATCATTTTCAATTGTATTCAAAAGGGTGTTGCTGAGCTTTAACTTAAAAATACCTTTAGAATTGAGTTATCCTGTCTCGTGTTCTTGGTGTCGTAACCCTCCAGGAGACATCGCCGCGTCGTGCTGCCGGATCCAGCAAACTCAGACAGGTTCAAGTCAGCAAAGCCCAGCTGGAACCGGAACATCAAATGTCAACAAATGTCAACAAGTTGACAGGCAGTTGAAATAGTTCAATGAAATTTCAGAATTTTACTGAATATAATTTGTATAGAACATTTTCTTTATTTTAGGTGTCAACAAATCCAAAAGGTTTTGAACACTTAAAAAAAAAGTGTCCCAGATAAAATCTTTACTCTGATGACCTCATAGTTGAATAACTTTTAAGGTTATTGGTTAACATAGTGTTGGTTTAGAATGGCAGAGTCTTCAATCAGTAATCACAGCCAGGAACTAGAAATAAAAACATTCTTAAGAAATAGACTCAAATAGAGCACTTGAAGGCCGACTGTTATCAGGTACATTTTTTTTAAATCAGTTCTAATGGACATCTGGTGAGTTTACATGAAAAAAAACATCAACAGGAAGTTTTACCTTTGCAAAGGTTTTGCCACCCTTCAATTCCTAAAATGACAAAAAAAAAATGAGTGAGGTCACATTTCACTTTAGGGTATCATTTCCCACTTTATATTTTCCTTAAAACATTTGTGAACTTGCAGAATGATTGTTGCCTGAGTAAAGCATTTGTGGTTTGGTTACAAATTAACTGTGATTCTGATCTTATGTACATCAACACATACCCAGAACATTCAACAAGCCATCTTAACCAGACTGCATACTATGCATTTTTGTAAGAGAGCTAAAAAAGAATTTAAAAAATCCTGTACCTTACGCACAGACACCCGGCATACACAGGGGTCCAGTACACCTGTCACAGCATTGGCACTCATTTTACATATGAAAGAGAATCTTCTCTTCCAGTGAACACAGTTGGCTTGGACCTGCTCCCTGTGAGAAAAGCACATCAAGAAAACAACTTTATAAAGAGAATGAAACACACAGACAGACATACTGAATACTGACAGAGCAGATATCAGTCACAAATCTGACAGATCTGTGCATGGATTAGTGTGTGTGACTTAAAAATGTCTCGGGCCAACTCACAAATAGTGAAAGATTAAGTTGTCCATTCTTTTATTTTTACTCAGAATAAGGAAAATAAATATATTTTGAAATCTCATTTTATGAACAATTTTTGATCTTACTTTAGGCTTTTAGCTACCTCCTGCAAAGCTCTACCAGATCATCTATTACCCTGACCAAAAATATGCCAATTCCAAATGGACGGATGTTCACTCCTAAATCTGCAGAACACCTTAGTGTCTCTTTCTCTGCTATTTAAAAGAGAATAACTGAGTTATTGTTTATTAATGTAGTTGTAACTCATTTGATAGGATGCACATTGTTCTCCTGGATCTGTAAACAGTACAAATCTGTTCTGATGAACTGGATAATATGTCTCATACATCACAAGAGAAACTGGGAATTTGCTTGTGTTCACAGAGAAATAAGGTTGTGGTTTGAGTAGCCCTAAAATACAGTGTTTACAAAGTGTTATTTTAGAAACAGACAGTCACCATGGCAAAGAAATGAGGGTTTGACATGTGCTGGTACACGTTTTTCCACAGTGACTCACTGAAATGGTTCACAGGCAATTATAATCACAGGGCCAAGGGGATAACTTAGTATGCTCCTTTATATGCAATGGAGGAAAATACTTGTTTGGTCCCACAGTTATGAAGAAAACAATAAATAAGTAGCATAATGTAAGCATTAAAGAAGAAATAAAATAAGCCTGATAACCAATTAGGCTATTTCTTTTAATGTACTTTCTCTGTGCCATCATCAAACTCTCAGATTTTGCATTATTATAGGATACTGATTTTAAGTCTTTATTAATATTATTGTGGTTGTTGAAATTATGGTTATTATTATCATGTATGTTGACTAAAATATTCCTGCCTAATTCTAAATAGTTTTGACCAAACAAATAAATCTCTCTGCTGAACAAGTTTCTGCTCCCAGCAGCAGCAAGTCTGTAACTATCTGTCAGCTCCTTTCTTTACGAACTTGAGCAGGAAGCTGGTGTAAGTTTAACACAGGTTAACCAAGCCGGATGTTTGATAACTCAAATCTGAGGTTTAGCTAAACGTTAACTACTCATTTAGGGCGATGAAAACCCTGTCCAACAGCGAAGAAAACCCCGAGACAACAAATGCTTTCCAGGTGCCCAACGAAAACTCAATATGAAGTTTAACCTACATTTCCAAGCAGTAAACTGTTGCTATAAATAGAAAAAAAACATGTCTTACCGAGTCGACTCTTCAGCAAAACCTCCATGCAGGAGTCTTACTTTACAAAATAAAACTCCGTTTACGAAGGGAATTGATGACAGCTCTTCCAGGTCAAAGTCTACTTTAAATTTAAATCTCTTTTTCTTCATAAGAATGAACGACATGCTGTAGCCAAGACGTCAGAGACTGGGGCACAACAAGAGTGAAGTGGTAAAGGTGACAGACAGCTGTACACTTTCCCTGCTCAGTGTCTGCCGCTCACTCAGCTGTTGCTGGTCGTTGCTACAATGCAACAGTCTGCAGACACGATTCAAAGTTCAAATCTCCTCCCTCTGAGAAATACAACTCATGACGTCAGGGGTAGTCCTACGTTTGATTGGACACTGTGGCCACAAAATAAAGGGCACGGTTGTAAACCGGCTGAACCGTACTCAAAACGTCAACTGTGATAGGAGAATACTTTTCCTCTGCACCACAAGCGCAGGCTACTGAGTTAACGCACTTTAGTGACGCTGTACGTGTGAACAAAATAATGACTGCGGAAAAAATAAAGGAAGCTGGCTTATGACAAAGAGGGGAAATGCCAACACCACTGAAAAAACTATGTCAGTTATGATTAATATCCCATGTGAGACAATTAAAAATGCAGAACCTATATGAGCCACTCACATACCCTACAATGTATGCTTGGCTACACATAACCATAAATTATAATAGACTGTAAGAGGTTTATTATTAGATTCAATAGCCTACATGTTTATTTTTAATGGCTCATGTGGAAGTTCAACTTATGATAGTAACACAAACTTACAGACCCCAAATGTGGTTGAGGATCTTTAGCAAGAGCATGGCCACAATTCTTACACTTTGTATGTTGCTGAATATTTGGATTTTGTCTTAACAGACATTGCAACGTTGTTCAGATAAATGCTTTTGAGGAATCCGACACTCTTAAGGAATACATTGTTGTGAATAGTACTGTAATTGAATGGATGCATAGATATTATTAGCAAATACAGTATATCCCAAATTACCAACAAAAAGTCATTTTTGTGGGTCACATTGTGTAAGTGTATGATTTTTACTGATGTTTTAACATGTAAACTCTGTGCCACTTATACTGAACCAACTATGAGCCTCATAAGTATCTGACCAGGGACACATTTTTACATACATTTTATGCACATGTATCTACAAAACTTTATAGATGGAAATAAAAATATCTCAGACAGAATGTAACTTAATTACCATGTGCTGCTCTGCTGTGCTCGCAGACATTTCCCATTTCACCCTTAATTTTAACCTGTAAGAAGGTTCTCAAATCCAAACAGTTTTGGGGACTTTTGAAGAAGAGCTATCCATTAAGGAGTTCCCTGAGAACTTCTGTCTGCATTCACAATGCCATGGTACCTAAAGAAGAAGCTAAAACAGTCCCTCTAAATGAGGTTCTATTAAAATAGTTCATCGTTCATGTGGTGCCAAATAAATAAAAACGGAGGAGGGTTCAAACGGTTCCTAGAACTATGATAAACTTCTTGTAGTTTGAAAACGTCTGTAGATGCTTTATCTATAATCCTGACACATCTTTAAAACAGGGACCTTCTAAGGATGAGCTGGTAGAAGCTGGAAATACCTAGTTTCAACTTCACTTTTTTTTTTTAGACTTGAGAGAAAATGACCTAAAACAGGCCAGTCCTTTATAATGAAACACTTCAACATACAACATACTTTCCATATATTTGTTTTCGTGTTTTAGATTGTTTATCTATGAAAAATAACCATAGCTTACACATAGGCCAATGGTGAGCTTAAGATGTAAACTTTGGTGAGAGATCAAAAGTAGCTTACTTTTGGTGTTTTAATGTGTCATTGAAATAAACAGGCCACAAAGCGAAGTTTTATAATAATAATAAAAATACATTAAAAAGATTTTTGTGACGTGAACATTTCCATTTAACCAAACATCTGTAGAAGCCAGTGACACTTCACCGCTTAAGAAAGTAATTATTTTTCTTCCTAGCCCCATAGACTGTAGATAATAGGGGTTAGCTCCTTGACTGTAATCTTTAGTCTATGGGTAGCCCCCACATTTGGTGTGTGATTATACCGCCCTCCAGTGGCGACCAGCGACGCTGCGCAGCTGTTAACACTGATGTTTCCTTTCTAGATAAGGGGATTAAATGCACTGCACAATGCTACACCACGTATCACACGACACAAGGTTAAAAACAGATGAGAAAGTGACCATCTGGAACATGAAACGGATTATGCACACGCTTAACCCAGCGGGCTTTTTTATCACCACTTTTCTATTTTACTGTCTTCTCTGCTTACCCACAAGAGACGTCGCGTGGCGACGCAGCTCATAGCTCCGCCCCCGGTTGTTGCTGCAGCTCGTCTGACACACCAGAGAGATAACACCTCTGCATGGGACAGTCTGCAAAATAAAGTCACAGGAAGCATTTTATTTAATCGCGAACGCCGTGTTTCTGTTTGGATTCCATCTGGGTTTATGGATTACAGCCAATCTGGATTATTAATCCCATCCTGACTGCAGGAGGACGACTCGCCCAGACGCCGCTTCCACATTAGCGCTATAATGTATCACACGTTACGGACGTTTTTACTCTCAAACGCTCGGTGCTGGGATGCGGACAGTGAGAGGACATATCAGAACCTGTTTGATAGGCTGGATACCAATAAAGATGGAAAGGTGGACGTCGCTGAATTACGTGCGGGCCTCAAGGCAATGGGAGTATTCCGCCAGGGTGCTGCACAGGTAGAAACAAAATACCACAGGGGCCAGGGGGTCCTCCAGGGTATAGACAAGAATTTAAAGGCGCGCCTGCTTGTTTTGCATGGAATCCCAGGGTTGTGTGTGTGTGTGTGTGTGTGTGTGTGTGTGCGTGTGCGCGCGTGCGTGAGATAAAGATAAAGAGACTCACCCTGGGAAGAGGCAAATTAACCACCAGATGTTATCTCCTCTCTACAGAAAATTGTGTCATCTGGTGACCAAAACAAAGATGGGTGTCTCGACTTCAACGAGTTCTCTAAGTATCTGAAGGAGCACGAGAAGAAGCTGCGGCTCACGTTCAAGAGCCTGGACAGAAATAACGATGGTAAAGTAGACCTACCTAGGGTACACAAGTCACAAAGGTTTACAATAACATACCCTTTTATTTGTACTGCAGCATGGTTGAGTGAAGTTATTTATGTTGTCAGGGCGCATTGATGCCTCAGAGATCCAGCAGTCACTTGGAGAGTTGGGAATAGATATCAGCAGAGAGAATGCCTTGAAAATATTACATAGGTATGACCTCCATTTCTATTACCTGTAACATGTCTCTTTTTAATCTGTGACCTGAATTGCTGCTTGTATATAACTCGACTTTCACTTTATCTTTGTCATGGATATGTTTATTATACCTAAACACAACATAATACATTACAAATGTTAAGGGAGTTTCTGTAACTTTGCCTAGTATGGACATTGATGGAACAATGGTGGTGGACTGGAACGAGTGGAGAGAGCACTTCCTGTTTCGCTCGGCACACAACCTGGAAGATATCATACGCCACTGGAAACACACCTCGGTATGGGACACATGCAAACTCTCAAATACATCCCATAGAGAAATACAGATGAAACTGCAGTGGATTAAATCCTCTGTGTCCTCTAGTCCTCTTGTGTTGGATTTATGGATTTTCTCTGCAGTCCAGATTTTGGCAGCAGCTTTGAAAGACCGTCCAACATAATAAGGTCACATCACTACACTGTTTCCCTCAGCATGGTCGTTCACCTCGACTTAGTGCGTATAAAGATGTCACTGACGAGATATTTGCTCTATCTTAAGCTAAACAATGCTTCTATTGACTGGCAATATGTGTTAATGTGTAGAAATCGTCTCTGCACCGACAAATTTGTGGTGCACGGTGCAACATTTTTGAGCATTAATGTGTCATATGATCCCATGTGATGAAACTAATTGCATAAGCTGTTTCATGTCCCTGCAGAGTCGTGTTAAATTGCTGCTGCACAATGTTTGACAAAACCTCTCTGCTTTGGGGAAAACATTGGTCATGTTTATCTGAAACAGCTAAAGCGTGCAAGACAAGGGTCGGTCAGCACAGTGATTAAGATTTCACAAGCAAAAGGATAAGGAACTCAAATCATTGTTTGTTTTTTTACCACAAACTACTCCCCTAGTTTTTACACTCATTGTATAGTACTTTGGACAAGTTTGAACAAATACACATATTCTTATTCATTATTTGTCCTTGTGCTCACTTCCTGGAAGAAACCTTTTGTTCAAAGATTTGTAAATGTTGTGCTCCTTCACGAAGTGTACAACAGGAAATTTGGCAATGTAGAAAGAAAATGTAAGCCTGTGAGATTTTTTTTGTCTCACTGACAACCAAACAAACGGACATTTTGTGACACGTGCCTTCCTGTGCAGACACATTCTTACAGGGAAAATATTTCTAATGTTAGACAGAACAGTATTTATTGTGGCCATGAACCGACAACCATTGAGTTTATGTATTTATATCCTTACGAGGGCAATTATGTTGATACACATGTCTTTAGTTTGACCTGTGTCAATAAACAAAGAGATTTGAGTAAATATGTTTGTGCTATCACTAGGTGCTTGATATAGGCGACAGTCTTGCCATCCCAGATGAGTTCACAGAGGAGGAGAAGAGCTCAGGCAACTGGTGGAAGCAGCTTGTTTCGGGCGCTGTAGCGGGGGCTGTTTCTCGCACCGGTACTGCTCCACTGGACAGAATGAAAGTCTTTATGCAGGTGAAATTCTTGAAGTAAAATCGTCTGATGTGTTTATCTCTAGGGGCTTGGGTTAACGACTATATCTGTGCTCCTAAATGTTTAAACTGCAGGTTCATTCTTCTAAAACCAACCGGATAAGCCTGACAGGAGGATTCAAGCAGATGATCATAGAGGGAGGTCTCACTTCTCTGTGGAGGGGAAACGGGATCAACGTTTTAAAGATCGCACCTGAGACGGCAATCAAATTCATGGCATATGAACAAGTAAGCTCTGGAGTGCATATTTCATATATTCGACAGTATTAATCTCAGTCTTATAACAAAACAAATATTTGGGAATCAAGATGGTTTATTTTCCAGCTTTTTTCGGTGTATTTATTTTGTAGTATAAGAGGTTGTTATCTTCAGAGGGTAAGAAGATAGAGACGCACAAGAGGTTTATGGCCGGCTCGCTGGCCGGAGCCACTGCACAGACGGCCATCTACCCAATGGAGGTGAGTCAACTGTTTGATCAT